TAACAATTTTTAATTTTACAAAATCTACAATTATACAGGGTGTTTCATAATATATGCGCAGGACTTCAGGATCTGATAGCTTAACCAAAAAGATGAAAAAAGTCGCTATTAACTTACCCTCTAAAATGCACAATTTTCGAGATACAGGGTGTTGAAATTTTAGAAAAAAAATTGTTTTTTTCGATTATCTCTGGAACCGTTTATGGTACAAAAAACAGCTTTTGTAAGCATTTTCTACTCATAATAAGGTATGTTTTGTGCCAGAAAAAATTTTTTTTTCTTCATAATTGGTGGAGATTTTGAAGGGGTAGCGGGTGTTTTTCTCCTCAACTTCTACGCCCCTAAAAAAAGTACGGTTTCGAGAAGCTCATTCGAACCGCCAATGTTTTCTACACAAAAAAGAAACTCTTGGTCAAAAGCTTTAAAGTTGACCGTTTTCGAGAAAAATCAACTTTTATGTTTAAAAACATGGTCAATTTTTTGAAAAAATTTTTTTATTACTAATTAAACAAAATTTATTTTAACGTTAGAAAAAGTAACAAAACCAAACGATAATTGCAAAATTAAAAAAAAAATAAAAAATGATTTTTTACACAAATGCTGAAATGTGCGAAATGCGTTACCTTTACGGTTTGGAGAATTTAGCAAAGACAACTTTTGAATCATTTTTTATTTTCAAATTATGGTTTGGTTTTGTTACTTGTTCTAATGTTAAAATAAATTTTGTTTAATTAGTAAAAAAAAAATATTTTTTTTTTAAATTGTCCATGTTTTTAAACATAAAAGTTGATTTTTCTCGAAAACGGTCAAGTTTAGAGCTTATGACCAAGAGTACCTTTTTTGTGTAGAAAACCGTACTTTTTTCAGGGGCGTAGAAGTTAAGGAGAAAAACACCCGCTACCCCTTCAAAATCTCCACCAATTATGAGGAAAAAAAATTTTTTTCTGCCACAAAACATAGCCTATTTTGAGTAGAAAATGCTTACAAAAGCTGTTTTTTGTACGATAAACGGTTCCGGAGATATTCGAAAAAACGAATTTTTTTCTAAAATTTCAACACCCTGTATCTCGAAAACTGTGCATTTTAGAGCGTAAGTTAATAGCGACTTTTTTCATCTTTTTGGATGAGCTATCACATCCTGAAGTCCTGCGCATATATTATGAAATACCCTGTATAATAAGCAGAAGAAATTATGAGGAGTGACTTTTCTTATATTTTTACAAGTATAGTTGGACACACTATATAATAATAAAAATAATTTTACCAATTCTTGATACCAACGCTATGCAGCACTGTATCTTTATAGGTCACGAGCCGCCTGGAATTGGTTAAAATTTTTAATTATTATGTAGGTTATTTTATTCTTATTTTTATGCCTAGAACTCCTTCTGGAGATTAAGGGAAAATGATGGTAGACAGTGGCGGATGGTGGATTTTGGGTATACCGATATCTCAATTATTAGATATGGGACCCACACCAAATTTATATGATTTATAATGACATTAAATAAACAAGTTCTGCGCAAGCAGAATTTAAATTGAAAAAAAGATAACGTTCTACTCGGCCGTACCGGCCCCATGGCGCCCCCAATAAATATAACATAAATTTAATTGGTGCAATTTATTATTTACCATAGTTTATCAATAAATTTCAAATTTTATTAAAAAAATCCAAATTATACAGATTTTATACCATTTTAAATTTGTATTATTTCTTTGAAAAAAAAATATTAAAAATTTAAAATGGTATAAAATCTGTATAATTTGGATTTTTTAAATGAAATTTGAAATTATGGTAAATAATAAATTGCACCAATTAAATTTATATTATATTTATTGGGGGCGTCTTGGGGCCGGTACGGCCGAGCAAAAAGTTATCTGTTTTTCGCAAACTTCAATTTAAATTCTGCTCGCGCAGAACCTAATTTAATGTCATTATAAACTCATATACATTTAGTGTGGGTCTCATATCTAATAATTGTGATATCGGTATACCCAAAATCCACCAGCCGTCACTGATGGTAGAATAGTTTATAATGGTAGAATAACTTAATAATAATCAGGCTAACTCACTAACATGAGTCGTTATCGTTAGCCACTAGAATTAGTGGTAACCGTTATTTTCGTTCCGTCTGATTGGCCGTCTTTAACCACTGATCCTAGTGGCTTACGTTAACGACTCTTGTTAGTGAATTTGCCTAAATAATATTAAGCTATGTCTGTTCTTTGCTTCTGTCCATATTAAAATTTGTTTTTAAAGTTCTTTACTAATAATTAATAATTAATTATTAATAATATTAATTATTGTTCTCCATATCCTGGTATCTTTTAGTTTAGTGCTTGTCGTGTTCTATACCCTTTTCCATTCCAAATTTATACGTAATTATACTTCCTAAGTAAAAAAATTTATTAACTTCTTCCATTTTTTGTTTTGTTACTTGTTAGCAATTTTGTTTGTCTGCGCATTAGGGTTAAGTGGAAGAGCAGTTAACTACCTAGTGTAGGGTAGGTACTGAACTTCGCCCTTTGTTTGTAATATGTTTTTTACAATCAATAAAGACATTATTATTATTATTATTTTTAAGCCTTGTTGTTGTTTCCTGTACGTATAAGATTTTTTCTTCGCCAGAAGGCAGATATTATTAAAGAATTCTAGATCTTCTAACTCTTTAAATTTTGGACGTTTTGTGCGTTTGCAATTGTGGAAAAAAGGGACAAACTATGGCTGTTTCAATATTTAATATTATAATATATATATGCAAATAAAACAGGGTGTTTTACTTTGAAACGCAGCAACACCGTGGCGGTGTAAGACATTTTTGTTGCAATTAAGCCGTTTATCGGAGAGTTACGCATTTTACCAGAACAATAACTCGATGGTGTCGCGCTTTTATAGAATGTTTGAAGCTACTGGATCTACAGTGAAAATGATCCAACAGATCAAACACATTTTTCTAACATACAGAATAAGTGATGACATTATTGTTCTGTCAAAATGAACGTACGAAAAAAGCGCATTGAGGCAATTTATCGTTTAAACGGCAAATTTCACCAAAAATTTCCTTTAACTTTTATAATTTTACTTCCTTGCCGCGTTAAATTAAATGGACAAAGTGCTCATACCCTTTTTGGACACCCTGTACAATTTAGCAGCTAAAGGCGATTTTTTTTTATTTTTGCAATTTTATGTACATTAATGTTTAAAGGTATTCAAAATTTAAATACAGACATATTATATATAATTATTGATAAAACATATAGTCGCGGTCAAATCTGTCATGTAATTAATGTAATAAAACCATTCACTTACTTAGTACTTACTTGTGTGTGCCAGTTGTTAATAGCTTAAGGCTAGCGCGCACCGTTTAATATTATCATTGGGTCACCGTCATTTTATATTTGACGTTTTTTTTGTAATTTTGACATTTCGTATGTACGCATTGTTTGTTGCAGATTATTATAAATAATTTTTTCTTCTCCAATTACGGAATATATCACTTTTTAATGAGGAATGACATATCGTGGGCATACAAGGAAAATCGGCTAAGTCCACAGTTTATAATTTTCAGAAAAACGCATTTTAAAACTAACCTGAATGCATAAAATCGATTTTTATTTAAAATATTTTAAATTACATTAATATAGATTTCTTATGTACCTAATTAAAAGTAATTATTGATGATTAAATGAAAAACAAATTAAAATGAACGATTTTATTTATATTTTTGTTATAAACATTTGAACATTTTGTATTTTTCCTGTTAGTTTTCAATATAAATTTGGACTTAATAATATGCTGTAGAATATATCAAACACTTACTAAATGTAGTTAGTGGGTTCTTAATGTTGAGTATTACAGAAATATGGACTTAGTCAAAATACAGATAGTTACAGACCCCTTAATATGCGCGTTTGGACTAATATGGTGCTTCTATACGAAGTATAGTAACTATACGGACTTGATGGTTTCAATTTTCGCGATTATAGCAAAAGTGGACTTGGCCGATTTTCCTTGTACGCCCTCGATATATTCCTGAAAGTATTAAAGAATGAATTATTCTATCATCAGATGACCAAATAAACACTGTTGGCGACATCTCTGTGTTTAATATCTAAGAAATGTAGACCGATCCAACCTCACTTTCTCCCAATTAAATTATTTTTCTTTGGTATTTTTTGGAAACGTAGAAAAAGTATAGTCTAAAACACGTTTGTAATTGCATATTCCGCTCTCGTGAAACTGTCAAACTCGCCTTCAGCTCGAGTGACAAACTTTTTACTCGAGCGGAATATGCTGAATTCCAAACTTGTTACAGAATATACTATTATACATTATGTTTATCATATTCTACAACTGGATTGTGCAAACAATGTTAAAAGACTTGTTATTGTTATTAGATTGGGAAGACATTGCGCCATTTATAAAAAATTTGGGGAAATAATCAGACTCCAAGTCTGACCAGGTTCGCTCTGACGACAAAGACGACTGGTAATTTAGTATTTTTGTTTTTCTGGTAATTTAGAATTTCTAGCTATGTACAATGTACATTGTACATATGTAATAAAAATGTAATAAACTCCGTTTGTTTCCTCTCTAAACACATTTTATCAAAATTAGCCCGTAACAAACTCCCAATTAGTTAGTGTAGAAGATTATAAAAATGATGTTAATCTTCCCCCACCTCTATAAACAGTCAACAATACACGAGCGTTAGATTGTGCCTGGGCACGTATGAATAGACCATAACGCTGAAGTCATATGCCGTTGATAACGTGCACCCATGCAGATTTGGCCGCGACTATAGTTGTTTCCTGCGTATTTAAAATTTTTTAGAAGGCATACATGTTTCTTAAAGAAAAATATCCTTGATTTAATATTGAAAAATGATATAAAGTATTAGGAAAACTTTGTATGCACCCATTCTAAACATTTTAAGTTTATCTAATGTTTATCAAGTATACTACAAATAGTCTTACATAAATAAATATAATTATTTTAGCATTTACGAAAACGGATTAAACGGGCAACCGCCACCGGATTCGCAGGACTACCTGCCGCCAGTGAAACGCCCTGCTCCTCAGAACGCATTCATGTTCCCCCATCAACACAGTCTATTTCTTCCGAATACATCGGCCTCTGTGCCAAACTCGCAGTTTTTTGAATACGGTCATCACACATCCGCACATCAAACTCAAAGAAATGAAGATAACAACACAGGCAACAGAGGAGACGAAGAGTGGAGGAATATCCACGTCATGTTAAATTGCATATTGTCTATGGTGGAAAAAACTAAGAGGTAACAAGATATGCTATAGCCACCGCGGCGAATGTTTTCCGTTGCGTTATCAATTTTAAATGTCAAAAACCGGTTTTAACGAAGACAGCAGTAATAGCAGTCTGTGCTTGGTTCACAAATTGTTAACGCAACGAAAAACATTCGCCGCGGCGATTATAACTATAAAATCTTTATAAAAGATTTTTATAATAAGGTTCTTTTCAAAATACGTTAATATTGTAATCAGTGATAAAATGTGTCATAGGTAATCTAATCTAATATATTTAATATACACACAACCAATCTTATATGGAATCACCCAGGAATTTCGAGAAACTTAAAAAAAGTTAATTGAAAATAAAAAGCACCTTATCCTAACCAATTTTATAACAAAAAAAAAGAAAAAAAATATTAAAACAAATTACAAAAAATATGAAATTATCTAAGATTATATTAAATTATAATTTTATATATCTAACAGGTTTTTTCTTGGGAAACATTTCCTCACCCCTCCAAAACTGCTTCTATTAGTTTATTTGCATTGCCTGGGCTATTTTGACGAGATATAATCCTTCTTTTAACCTTATTCCACGAGTGCATAATTCGATTAGGATCCGGTGAACAAAAAGGCCACTTAAAACAGTCACACCTTCCATTTCCAAATATTTTTTTGGAAATCTGCTGATAAAGTGATTTATCCTGTATAAATCGCGGAAAGCACCTCTTCAGAGCCTTACTACGGATTGTACAACTAAATCCACATACCTTGGACTTAGGTTCGGTTTGAATGCTCAAATATGAATTAAAATGGCCAACTCTATTTTGCAATATTTATTTTTATACCCTTAACTGTGTTCGGCGATTTTTTATTTATCTCGGATAATGCACCTCCGTTGATTAGCCTTGTTGTCAAAAATTGTTGAGAAATGGAAAGTGTGACAGTTTTAGAGTGGCCTTATTGTTTACCAGATCTTAATCCAATTGAGAACTTAAGGGAAAAGGTTAAAACATTGATTAGGGCCCCTTAAAACAACGCTGGCAACGCAGAGCAACTAATAGAAGTACTTTTAGAGGGGTGGGAATAAGTTCACCAAGAAATAAATAACTTAATAAAAAACATTCCTCGTCGAATTCGTGCTTGCATTATTATAAACACTGATTATTTAATTAACAAAACAAAATTAGTTTTTCTTAAATTCTAATTTATTGTAAAGTTTATTCTCACAGAAATTCACATTTTTTTATTTCTTCAATATAAATTTGTTTTGTTTGAAATATTGTAATTGGTTTAGATAAAGTGCTTTTTATTTCAAAACCCTTTTTTTAAGTGGAATAATGTTTCTCGTAATTACTGGGTGATTCCATATAACTTTGGTGGTGTGTACACTGTGGTCCCATCGAAAACTCTCAATGGCCTATATCTTTAAAAGGATAATCGATAAATAAAATTTGAAAGAAAAAACGTTTCGAGGGTTTAAAGGGGGGAACCAAAACAGGGCACTTTTCAACTCACCTCGATCTACCCCAGCGGGGGTACCCACCCTAACCTCAAAATATTTAATGGCACTATACTGCCGTGCTCCCGTATCCGCAAGTAAAGGACAAAAGATAATTTTTATTGTTTTTAACAATGAAAATGATCTTTTGTTCCTTATAACTCAATATTGTACATACGGGCCCCGTATTACGGGGGCTTGGCTTACCAGGGCAGTATAGGTCATGTGATACCTTGTTCGAAATGTCTTTTAATTCACAATATAATTCTTAAAAAAATTATCTTTTCCTTATTTTCATAAAAAAAATAAACTGGTGCAATAATTAAAGGTCATTGGGATGTAAAACATTTTACATATTAATTAATTAATTGTTCAAAATGTTCCTGTATGGTTCAACTATTCGATGCCGTATATCTTGTAGCGACTCAGGTGATCTGATGATCTTGGGGGCCACTCTTACGGTCCTCTTCCATTTGCCAGGAAAACGCAAGTTAAGCCAATTTTTTAATTCTCCAACTTCTGCTCTCAATACTTGCTTGAATTCATAAAGCTGCTCTTTGGTCAACTCTTGTTTACACTCTAGGCTCTAGGGAAGGACGTACGTCCTTCGAAATTTTGACATAATTCAATCATAAATCACTTTAAACTACAGGCTTCACTTACCGTTTAAAATTTTATACCAAAACCACTATTTTTGCAAATATAAACTAAAATTGTTAGCAACAAATGAAAACGTCTAGACAGTTCCAGAACCATAGATAGTATGTTTCTCTATGTCTAGTACTTTAGGGTTAATACGACTCAATGCGTGTATATTTCCTAAAGCATGCATACACGAGTGCAACCTCGTAAATGCGCAGCAAGGCGCGCATTCGGTTTTGCTTTTTGCATGCTCGATACGTTGATATTTGGGTATTTACACTTTTTTATTTAAGAGAGGTTCTATTCAAGTAAACGCTATAAATGATGGTGATATTTTTAAAGCGGTTACAAAATTAAATAATAAGTTTACATCGGGTAAGGATGGTATACCTAGTTTTTAAGTTAAACATTGCATTGGAGATCTAGTTGGTCCACTTAAACATATATTTAATCTCTGTTTGTGAACTGGATCTTTTCCTGAAATATATATAAGTTTGCCAAGTATGCCAAGTTTAAAAAAAATGTGACCCAGGTATTTGAGATTATTATACCTGTATCAGAGGCGGATTAAATGTCGAGAGCGCCCTAGGCAAGCACCTCATCGGCGCCCCTCTAGCGGCCATATATTATAAATGTTTACTAGTACTTAGTAAGTACTAGTAAACATTACTACTACTACTACTACTTACATAATAATTAGCTGTGCACTGCGGTTTCACCCGCATGATGCCCCATACCGTGGAAATTTCGGTCTCCAGCTCTCTACATACCAAGTTTTATCACAATCGGTTTAGTAGTTTTTGCCCGAAGAAGTAACACACACTTTCGCAGTTATAATATTATTAGGGTAAGTAGACGTGTCCTGGCTTATACTTATATTTAGGTATAGGCCAGGACACGTGTACTTACCCTTAGGTGTGAATGAAATATGTGATATACATTTCTATAGAATTAACTTATCTTTTACATGTTAATTTTAAGTTTATGTTAATTAGGAGTATCAATACAGACGGACAGTCGAGTAAATGTGCTCTCTAATTCGATCGCTCTTAAGTGTACCTAATAATAAGTTTTAAGGAAACATAAAAATCGCTCATGTACAGTGTAGTTTAAGGAAAATAATGGGCGAAGTTAGTGCAAAGATTTACTACTTGGACAACGAAAATCAGTGTACCTGTTGTCCAAAGTCTTAATAGAAACATTAAATTAGTGCATTATAAAGCAACCCCAACAAGTGAATATAGTGAATAAAGACCATACGGACACGGAAGTAATTAAGTAATAAATGACAGCATACCTGAAGATCTAACCCTAGGCCAATATGAATCACCTTATGTAGGGAACAAACTAGCCTAGAGTGGAAGGGGCCATCATCTGCAAAAATCTGTACCAATTAATCGCATGACCTAATACGCAAATTCGCAACAAAAACCTAACAATAGTCAATCATTATTACTTAAAACAGCGTAATAGTGTAAATTATTCAATCATTAGGTAAGAACGGCACAAAACATAAATAAGCCCCAACAAAATTAAAATGTTTAAAACCAGTTTCGATATTTGCCTAACATAAACCACTAAACACCTCTAAATTTTAGGCATTGCATGCTGCTAGCTGTATAAGAGAATTAAAAAAGCAAAGTTAAGAGCAATTATATAAAATAAAGTATATATAAATGCAACTTCTAATTGTTAGAAAAGAAAAGAAAACGTAAAGACAAATATCTATCGATAGTTCTCGACCCCTACACTGAGGAAACGTTTTCGCACAGTGGGGCAAACAATTGCTCACAACAGTTTCCGAATTTCAGCAGACTACAAGACCAGAAAAGATAGGTCCTAGCAGCGTACTAACCAACCAAACCTCATTCATGAACCCCAAATAAATGGGGGGATTACTAAATCCCTGGTTGAGGGGGATTCCGGATTGTACTTAGTTTTGCCTCCTTGTCCCGTACTCCTAGCCTGAATCGGGCGTATGGCCCGGCCCGGCGAAAAAATTCCGGGAGTGGCCTTTACCATCCACACTGTCATCCTCGACCTCCTAGGCGAGATTTACCAACCGGAGTGAAAATGCGGATCCACCAAACACAGGTGATGCTGTTCAGTGGCGGGATAAGTAGGAGAACTGAAAGGGGGTGAAATAACCCTGGGAGATCAGTGCAAGGCGTGCCGATGGGGCCTGCCATACGTTCCTTATATATAATTTTATGTTAATTATTTTCTTCGTTTCAAAACTCACTTGCGCGTGCTGATTAAATAATCAAACCAATAAGTTGTAAATCTTTCTTCAATAAATACCTACTCGGTGTTCATAAAAACTTGCGTTTTTATCAAACATCGCGCCCCCTTGTAACCTCGCGCCCCTAGGCACGTGCCTAGTTTGCCTTAAGGATAATCCGCCTCTGACCTGTATAATCATATATATGCTGTCACAAAATGTATAATAGCAGAAGATCAACATGGCTTTTGTACAAAAAATCTTGCATAACTAACTTGGTCATATATCTTGGTTTTCAAAAGGCATTCGATCAAATCATGGTGTCTTAGTGCAAAAACTAAAAAATCTACTCAACTTATTTAGATCCTACCTTCATGGTAAATATCAGTTTGTCGAGTATGAAGGTTTTAAATCAAACTGATATTTAGTATCGTCCGGTGTTCCTCAAGGGTCCAATCTTGGCCCATTATTATTATTTCTTCTCTTTATTAATGACTTGATAGTAGTACGATTCCAATGATTGTTTAGGGATACAAAATACTCTTGATTTTATTTATTCCTGGTGCATTCAATCTAAACTTATGTTTAAATTTTTTAGATTTTAATTTATCTGATACGTTGTTCATTGTTTATTATTTATTTTACTGTACTGTTAATAACATTTCCTGTAATACTTATTTTTAAGACGTTCAGTTTATTTGACACCTATTATAATAATTATTTTATTATTACAATTTTAAAGCACTCAATATAACACTATTTGGTGTGACATTTTGTTTTAATATGTTTGTATTAAATTTAAGATTTTTAACTCTGTTTTACGTAAAGATTTATATTTTAACATTTATGAGCATTTAACCAAGCATTTTAACTCGTAGGTATAACATACGTTGTAAACAGTTTTTAGTTTATATAACCTTTAACCTTTAATAATTTTTACATTCATTTTTAGGGCATTGACAATTCTTCAGCAAAGAAACAACCAAGAACTAACGGCAGAATGGTTAAGAAAACAAGATGTCAGTGTCGATTTGAAAAAAGCCGCCAACGAAATCATGGTTCAAGCAGTAAGACAAACTGAAGATAGAGTGGCGGAAGTAAAGAGAAGAGCTGAAGATGCGGTAAATGACGTCAAAAGGCAGGCCGTCATAGAACTGCAAAAAGCGGTGGCGGCGGCTGAAACTAAAGCCAACGAACTGGTGGCTACTGAAAGGGCCAAAATGGAGAAAATGTTGTGTGGTAAGTAAGACATTACACTGTGCAACATTTTCGGAAAAAAATTAAGATGATGGGGTTCTGAAAGTATTTTCGGTTTCTACAATCAAAATCATGAATTATAGCGTTTACAGAATGTTTAGATTGATTCTGTTTTTTTTAATATCAATTTAAAATTTTAGTAATTCTGGATCCCGAAATATCGTAAAATAATAAATAATTAGTACATGAAAGATAATTATTGGTTTTGTATATTGTTTTATAAAGTAATAACAATCAAATAAAGAAAAAAATAATTAAATAAAAAAATAACGAGAACAATAAAATGCAATTTTTTTAAAAAATTTAACCTTTTTCTGGATATAATATGTTGTAGTGCAATTTCTTAGTTCTTTCGCTTCTACCATAATAATAATTATGGTAATTACAAAAAATTATAATAATTATTAAAAATATATTCTTTTTAAAAAATAGAATGAATCAACATATAACAAATTTTATTTATAATTTTATGCCAAAATTTCAATTGTCATAGACCAAAAACATTTCCATTGCCAAAAACCAACAAAACATCGAATCAAACCTCTTTCCTCTATAACGATTTTCCATTTCCAGTATTGTTTGATGCTCTTCTGATTCGGTGGACAGCTGATTTTCGAACAGGTCAAGATGTGCATGGAGCAAATGTACTTTTAGTGACATGTTTACAACCATTTTTAATTATTTTTTATTTTTTATTATTTCTTTTTAATTTATTGTTATGACAACAATTTCCTACCAGTTAATTGGTTTAAATTAATAAATAACGGTTTTTCGGGTTCCAAAATTAATAAAACTTAAAATCGATATTAAAAAAAAAACCTGAATCAATCTAAATATTCTGTAAACGCAAAAAGGCATTCTTTGGATAGGAGAAACGAAAACCACTTTCAAAACCCCATCATTTTTTTGTTTTAGTTTAAATTAATAAATAACGGTTTTTCGAGTTCCAAAATTAATAAAACTTAAAATCGATATTAAAAAAAAACCTGAATTAATCTAAACATTCTGTAAACGCAAAAAGGCATTCTTTGGATAGGAGAAACAAAACCCACTTTCAGAACCCCATCATTTTTTTTGCTGTTGCATTGTGTTATTTATAATACACATATGCTGAAAATGATTTAATTTAAGATTTGTTGATAGATATAAATTTTATTAAATATTTTTAACCACGTTAAAGTGCGTAACCCTCCAAATAGGCATTTATATTTTAAATTTTATATAAAATATAATTTACTTCTCACAAATCATATATGGGCTATTCTATGCCTACTTGAAAATATGAGAAATGATTAATTAATCAAGGTTACAATAATCGTTGTCCCGAGGCGGAACTTAAGTCCGATCCCGGCTGACGTCATAATTTTACGATTTCATGTAGTTGTTACGATAAAATAAAACAAACAAACCAACCCAACTCTTTTCAATATATAAATATTCTTTTAATTAGAAATAATATTATATTACCGTAGCGAAATAATAATAAGGAAGGGTAAATAATCTAAAATATTGATGCAAAATTAAATATCAATGCTTTTAATGTAACATTGCATTATTTCGTTATGTAAATACTATGTTTATTTGTTACCTGAAAAAATATTGTTTTACATTTTTTCTAGATAATCGAAAACATGAAGATTCGGCACATCAACCAGCTGAATCCGGAGACAACAGCCTATCACCAACAGCTTCTGCGCAACCAGCACCTTCTCAGCAAAACGTAAGTACCTACATTTGGGAGATTTCATGAACCATTTTTAGGAGTAATAATAATAATTATAATATTATTTCTTATTATAACTTTTTTTTTAAATAAAAAAATAGATTCTGTTTGCAAATAATGTTTATTTGGACCTACGACTGAAGACAGCACGAGCTGCAATAAATGGATATTCAAAATATTATATTTCCCGGTCGCTTAATTTCTCGTTTTGGTGATTTGCATTGGCCCGTAAGATCGTCATTTGACTGCTTCTTTCTTTGGGGTTGATTTGAATTCTTGCGTTTATGTGAACAAACCATGCTAACTTAAAATGTAAATATGTTATATAGATTGCATACATTTTTGGGGGTAATACCACAAGTGCTTAAAAATTACCAATAATTTTTATGAAAGCGCGGTATATAAGTAAGATCACCTCAACTGGACTCCCCATTTGCCACTTAATTGTGAAATTCAAATTAATATATTTTAAGATAAAATAGTCACTATCAATAATAAAACGATGAAACAGTTTTTTAAAATTTTTATTTTAAATAAATGCTGTAATCCTTTTGAAAATTACGTGATAATTTTATAAAAAATTACTCATGACGCAAGCTCAGTTAATTTTTTTAATTTAAAGTTAATTGAATTTTAAAAAAAATAATTCCGAGCTAATAATATTAAAAATTTCTTATTTTTCTGGCTGAGCAGCTTCACAGTATAAAAACAAATATAATTTTGAAAATTTAGTTAATCATAAGAACGACTTTAATGTTGAAGCTGAATGGAACGTTTTCGCGACATCTCACTTTAAGGAGCATGTGATGGCTTGGAAGGAAGCGTGAAAAGAGAAGCTTATCGTGCTAGTCTTCAACGCGACATCACTACTGCAGTCATTATTTAAATTGGCCGAGTATTCCTTTAAAAAAATTGCTTTTGGCTTTTGCTCTTAAGAGGAACATGATTCTCACGAACTACACTGCGCCTTTACCAATCTTTATAAAATTTTGTATAAAAATACTTTAACTTATATCTCAGTTTTAAACACGTAAATTACGCGTTGAAGGGTTTTTCGAGAAAATATCCTTAAAACCCTTTTACTTAATAATACAAATCGCTCGAAAAAAAGCTTTTATAGGATTTTTTTTTTTAAGTAAATAAAAATATGCTGTGAAAGACCGTATTTTTGTAAGTATACCCTGAAAATGTTGTACAAATCAAACGAACAATAACGAAAATACAGCGCTTCAAAGTCGTCAAAAATAAAAACTTTTCAGCAAAATAATCAAAAAAGGGTCATTTTTATCGACTTCGTTACTGTTCGTTTGATTTGTACAAAATTTTCAGGGTATACTAACAAAAATACGGTCTTTAACAGCATATTTTTTATTTACTTAAAAATAATTCTCTAAAATTTATTTTTCGAACGTTTATTCATTATTAAATAAAAGGGCTTTAAAAATATTTTCTCAAAAAACCCTCGAACACGTAAACAGTAATAATACTTATATAAATTCTTATACAAAATTTCATAAAGATTGGTAAAGGCGTTTTAAAGTTAGAATTTTTTTACTTATTATGCGTTAGTTTTGACGCGCAGTGTAAAATACAATCTGTTACTATAAAAAATACCCGCCAGTTTTACTGTTATAAAGCTTTAGACGGTGTATCACTTCAGTGTAAGCTTTTTTCGGAAGATACAAAAAAACAACTAATAAAATTTTTAAGAAAAAATTAAAAAAGTAGCATGCTGCTGGGAAATTTATGTTTCATTTAATTATTTGTTCATTTTATCTTTATTCATTAATAAAAATAAATATTATATCTAAAATGTGAATATAAAAAATAAATCCAGAAAATTTCATTAAAATATCTCCAACGGTTTTTCTGTCATCTATTTTTTAGTCTCCAAAATTTTCATTGTTCAAAAAATTGAAAAATAAAAATTAAAAAAAACTGTTTCAGGGTTTTATTATTGATAATGACTGCTTTATATTAAAATATATTAATTTGAATTCCACGATCAAGTGAGAAATGAGGGGTCCACTTGAGGGTCCGAAGTTCGAAGAACAAGTGGAATTTGCACAAGCCTGAAAGAAAATTATCTGGTTAATTTTTAAGCACAAGTGGTATTTAGGGAAAATATTTTTCAAGTAAATTATTTATTGAAATAAAATTAACACAAATTATAATAACTATAATGCATTTTTAATAGACATTTTTTCTTTTCACCGTGTTTCTTTTTTTTGTTTAATCACCATAACGATTCATTTTAACGAAAATTGTATAAAAACGTTCTAAAAAAATTGGTTTTGACGTTTTTGGTTTTCGATTCAAACCGCTTGTAATTTATAAGGTACACGAATTCGCCATAAAATAAATTTGTCTGAAGAATTATCCATTTTACAAATTCCGTCAGATGTACCGCTTTCCAAGGCTCAATTTAATAAAAATCGTAAAGTTTTTTTGCTGAATATCAATTTGATTGATGCTGGAATCATGGGCGTAGTCACTGACTACTAGTCAGGGAAGGGCGGTTGCCCTATAAGTTTGAGACTAAAAAATTAAACGAGTTTTCGGAAAGTTACAGCAAATAGTTTGAAATTACTACAAAAAGATATTTTAAGAAATCCCGTTTTTCCATCAAAAATCCCGCGTATTTGCCAAATAATTCTGTCTTTTTAAAATAAATAAGTAAATCTTTAGTCTACTATATTAAAATCAATTATCTGTTAGTCAACATTAGCAGCAGCTGCAGTCTGCATTAGTCGGAGCCATGATATTACATAAGACTTATGTAGTTTTATCATGGTCGGAGCTAATAAAACTTTTGAAAATGCCCACTAAAGAATTTACAGAAAAATAAGGATCTAAATTCACTTTCGTATTTTTAACAATCTGATGAAAAAAGTGATGGAAAATGCGCACAAATGTCCGGACATAACCATATATGTCAACTCCCGGGAAAACTCAAGTAAGCACTAGTTGTTGTAGTGGGGGGTCATTCGCGCCTGTAACCTCCTTGAAATTGAACGAATCAATATTTCCTATTTAAAATAAGACCCAAAAACAGGAGTTCTGATGGAAATAAAAAATGTCCAGAGTGCTGGTCCAGTCAGAGGAAAACATGTCCAACCAACTAATCACAGCTCTCCATCCATGTCATGTCATTGAGATGGCACACTCAAAACAGTTACCGTCAAATGTCACGATTTTTGTTTTTGTACAATAAATTGTGTTAAAATAAGTTTCCTAAGTATTTTAGTGTGTAAAACAAGCATTTTTATGTTTTCTTAATTTTTGAGCACCCTGTACATTTGGTTCAATTTTTTTTATTGAGATTCCCATTTTGTATACAAGCATAAATTCTTATCAGGAATGATTTTTTTCCCATAATAAAAAGTTTTTTCTCTTTCAACCCAAACCGAGGACACACTGTAGAAAAAATCCAGATGTATAAGGGCTAAACTAAGTTTACATTCAGACTTACATACCTGGGTAAAATAAAAAAAACAAAATTCGGAGGGACCTACTAATACAAATTAGTCTTGGTACGATCCAAACAAAAACAAATAAGTCACATGCAGTTTGGTCATAAACAAAAATTTCCATTCTTAAAATGAATTTAATTTAAATACAGCTTTTTCGCTCTCCTAATCAATCGGATGGGATTTTCGACTTATCAGGAGAAAAGGTCCAATTAAACATTATTCACAAACAAAACCGATTTTTTATTTTCAAAAAATGTATAGTCTTAGGAATCAGTTGTACTAATATTAGGTAACTTAACCTAAATAAAATATGTACCTAACTTTGCTAATTATTGTTCAAAACCCTAAAGAAAAGTCTCATGGGATCTCCCCTCGACACAATTAAGAGATGGAGTGCAAACTGTAAATTAGTGACTATTTTTGCAGTCTTGTTGGAATTGCGGACGTAAGGCCCACGAAACTTGTTCAGGTTGCAGCTTGGCCAGGTATTGCGGAGCCTTTTGCCAACACAAAGACTGGGAGAACCACCATCAGGTTTGTTCGAAGGAGAAAATCAGACCAATCAGGGTGTCGACGCCGAGTTCTACTGTGCAGGCGGTTACCGACGGGAAGTATAAGAAGTGACAGTTAAAAAGACACAGAAGAGCTAGGAAATTCGATTATTCCTAATTTGGAAGTATAAGAAGTGACAGTTAAAAAGACACATAAGGGCTAGGAAATTCTATTATTCCTAATTTGGTTTTTAACGCTATAGGTGTATGGAAATTAATGTTTTTAACATTTTATTACCAGCGCATTTCTTTTGAATTTAGGGATGGTTGGTCACACAATTGGGTAGTTATTTTTGGTTGTGTAAAAATAATCTCCCAATATAAGTGATAAAGAAATTACATAGTTCAATATTTACATAAAAAATATATAGTTTAAAACCAATATTTCAAAAATATATTAGGACAGGGGTGTGCACTCTACAAAATGTACTATGGTCCACACCACAGACCAGGTCTGTGGTCCACACCGTCCACACCTGTAGACACGATCGTGTGATCGTCTTTTATAATCTATGATCGTCTGTGTCTGTGCTAATGTAAAAATGTACAAATATTTTAACAGGCCCCATAAAAAAATAAAACCTGTAAAGAAAAGTTTGTATTGTAATTGTATAGAAGCCAAGTACATTTTGTTGGTTAAAACCTTGTAATTTGGAGTCACAATTGTTTGTTGTTTTATGACTTTGTTTTTTCAGCTGTAGAGTTAAATGTACTATCTATTCCTGTACTTTTTTTATGACACTTACATTGCCTTTAGGGGCCTCATTTGTATTTGGGTGTTCGTATTTAATTAAAAAACATTGCTAAAATTATTATTTTTAAATATGAAAATTTAAATCAAATAGTTTAAAAAAATTTGCATTACCAAATTTAGTTATGTATAATTTTTTCAGCTTATATTTCTGGGAAAAACTATATTTATCGACTTTTAGAATTTTTCCAAAATCAGAGTAGGTACCTATATTGATTTCTTGGATATTAAATATTAAATGCAATGTTGTAAAAAATCATCATAAAAACCTATTTACACTAAAAATAAAATATTCAATAAAAAGTGCAGCACTGAAAAGCTGCGATTTTTGACTTATCTATATCATATCGACTTTTAGAATTTTTCCAAAATCAGAGTAGGTACCTATATTGATTTCTTGGATATTAAATATTAAATGCAATGTTGTAAAAAATCATCATAAAAACCTATTTACACTAAAAATAAAATATTCAATAAAAAGTGCAGCACTAAAAAGCTGCGATTTTTGACTTATCTATATCATTTTTTGTGGTTTATATTTGTTTCTTGTCAGAATAAATATTAAGATGAAAAAAAAGTAAATTTTTAACTTTAGTTGTAGATATCGACTAAAAAAAATTGTAACTTTTTTAATTAGGCCAGTAAAAGTGAGATTTTATATAGGGAATCCAATACTTTTATACTGCTTGGAATTTTATTTTTTTAATCAAAAGAGCATAATTTGGATACTAACCAATAGATAGTATGTATTCTGGTTTTTGGATTGATCCAAACAACCCCCGCGACCATTGACGTAACTAGCCATCTGACCCGGGGGGGGGCCTAGGGTGGTCCTGTTATTGTGACTAGAAATCTTTAAAAAAGTTAACAAATGTTGTCTCCAAAAGGCACAAATACCAATTTTTTTGATCAAACAGCTCCAGTGAGAAAGGGAGTAATTACTGATCTTGAGGACCAATATAATTGATGACCGTTTGTATCGCGTATGACCGTTTGTTTTTATGAAAAGATACAATTGCTAGTTGCGAGCTTACATATTTTGAAAGTTGATAAAATACAACCTAAGATAATATCATATTATGTAAATGATACTTACCTATTTCTATTGCAAATTTGGTAATAACAAAAAATTATAACAGATAAAAGTCAGCGTTTTCCTGGGGGGGTCCAGGCATGTCTGGGGGGGACCGGGCCCCTAGGCCCCCCTGTAGTTACGCCAATGCCCGCGACACTATGACCTGCCAACTTAAAAAACCAAACGTTGTTTTTAAACTTACTAACTGTTGGTCGCACAGAGACTTTTAGAATACTGGTGATTAAGAGCTATATTTTTTTATAAAACTTATTTTACTTTCTGATGGGCTGTTGCTTAGATATACATTTAAAAAACCTCACAATTTTTTTGGAAAATGCTATTTTTACCCCTTCTGCGATATTTTTTTAACAAAAATTGTCTCTAGAAATGTTGTAGTTTTTGAAATGTTCTATAAAATGATCTTTTACTTTAAGTAAATTGGTCCAGTGTGGGCAGGACAATCTACAACTTTTCGTTTCTTTAAAAATAACATTTTTAACTCATTTTGGACTTATAATTTGTTGGTGACAAATTAAAGTTATTTAAAAATATTTTAAAATCGTAATTTAATAGGTATTGTTGATGATTCATTGTTGCGTAATTAAAGAAAAAACGTACGTTGCGTGAGATTGCGATCGATGCTCCCGCGAAACAGAGCTCGCGACTTCAAGCGTAAATTGTCCACACTGGACCAAAAGTCAATTTATAGAAAAATTTTAGAGCTACAAAATTTTAAGAGAGAATTTTCTTAAAAAAAACATTACAAAAGGGGTAAGAATGGAGAAAATCAATTTCCAAAAAAAGTTGTGTTTTATTACGTATATTCATGAAACATGCTTCGGTGAGCAAAATAGGATTTATACAAAATGTAGCTTTTAAAATTGCCTGTACTAATCAATTTATGCCCTTTGATTAAAAATATCCGGTATTAAAGTATTGGGTCAACATAATGGACTAAATATTATTCATCCATATGCAATATATTTAAGTTTATTGATGTCTTAAGACATTTAAAAATTTAAGAGGTGCACTTATACTACAACTCAGCCAAGTTTCAAAGAATTCGGGGATATCAACATTTTAGACGTTCACACTTGGCGAATTATAATCCTTATACAGGGTAGATGTTTTTATATTTTCCATATATTTTTTAAAAAGGCTATCCAGCACCCAAATAAATATTTTGTTACTTGATATTTAATCAATTTAATTTAAATAACATAATTTTTTTCACCAAAAATTACACAAAGAAAAGCAGCTAAAGGAGTACATTTTGACAAAAAAATGAATATATAAAACCATAAACAACAATTCCTATACACTACACATAAATAATAATAAACCAAATTGGTCAATCATACTTAAATTCAAATAAAATGTGTCTTCTGTAAATACTTTACTATTCCACTCCAAATTCTGTATTTAACACAAATTGAAGTAATAAATATAATCAATATTAGTGTTTCACATTTGTACATAATATGCATTTAGTCATGATCAATTTAATTAGTAATTTATGTTCTAAATAGTAAAAACACTGATTTTTTATACTTAATAATTGTGATTTTTCCTTTTAAATAAATTATTTTTTTAGTTAGGTATGCCCTCAAAATAAACTATAATACTTGCACTGTAGCTGTTTCAATAAGTATAGCTAGACTAAAGAATATTCTTTATCTTATTAAAAACTGGTTAAGTTTGGTTCTATGACCATAAATTTCTTAATGTTGTATATTTTGTAAAATCTAGTCACTTTTTAGATAATTTGTAAATTAATAAATCGTTATTTAGTATTTATTATTTATTTGCAATAACATTATTAAATTAAGGACTTTTCACAATATATACATTCACTGGAATCTTGTGTTTTATTTATTAAAATCCTTTAAAAACGTAAAAATGTAAAATAAGTATATATTAAAACAATTTACTTTAACACATCTGCAAACATTTCCTTAGTCTTATCAGTGGTTTTGTTTAAATTATTTTTCCATTCTTCCTTACTTCGTTTGTAAAGAATAAAATTAATTTTGTTGGAAATAATTTTACCGTGATCTGAATTTGACCAAGCTCCATCTTTATACAGAAGTTCATCCATAATAGCTAATCTACTTTTTAAATTTGCGGCATTCCATAAGGCTTCAAAACATCTTGAACCAAATTTTGAAGAAGCCAATTCTTGATAAGTACCCTGAAAAAATAAATTTAAAAAATGATTTAAAAAAACCATATTGTTACCTTCATTTTGCGAACTAATTTCTCCCTACTTTTCTCTCCAACAAAAGCACTTTTAACATATGAATCCACAATATGGCTTCCCATGCTGTTTGAAAACAAATTTTTTAAATCATTGATGTCTGTATTAAGAATGCCATTAACAATTTTTATCGGTTTATTAAACTCCAACATTAATTGCAATATAAGTGTTCCATGTAGATTTAACTTTTCCTTTTGAAGATTTTCATTTGATGTGCCTTTCATTTTTTCCAATGAAGTTAATCGGCTCAAGCATATAATTAAGTGATGACTTTGGTCTTCTTGTTCACAACCAAAGCATTTCATTATACTCTGGAAGTTAATTAAAATTAATAGTATTAATAACACTTTTCTCAGCGATTTTCTTATAAAACTTAAGATATTTTAATTAAAAAAATAAATTAAATGAACACAAATTTAGGAATTTTTTAAACAGAAGCCTGACAATTTTTTTTTTGAATTAATCTGACGCATTTGTGGTGTAGCTTTGTTTAGCAAAAATAAACTGCTTATAATATGTATTCTATATAAAAATTAAATGAAATATTGAAAACATGCCTACTCATCATTTAAAAGATTACAAATAATTTGTAATGTATTAATTAAATAGTATGTTTTTATCTTTAAAAATAAAAATACACTTTAAAAAAGTCATGTAAATAGGTACTTAAAACCAAAATATTACCTGAACATAATTCCCTTGTTTAGCTGACAATCTTTTGCAACTTTGTCCCAAGGATAAAATGACACCTGAGTGTCCAGCTTCAACAATTTCCAAAAAACTATCTGCTAATTCATCAAACATAGCTTCAAACTAAAAAAAACATAAAATACAAAATTTTGCAAAAAAAAATAATATTATTCCATACTTCAGCCTTATCATTACAATGATTTAACAATTTTTGAACAGCAAAATTGGTATTTCTTGTTTTAGCAAGTTTTACCAACTTTCCTGAAAAACATTTAACATAAATTTGGGTAAACATTTTTGATTTTGCCACTTGTAAAGCCATTTCCAATATCATCATAGCTGGTTTGGATAAAAATACTTGTGGAAAAGAATCTGGATTGTCAATATTTTTATTATTTTCTGGAGCAAATAAATCTTCCAAAAATTTTTCCAGGTATTTTCTTAACAATTTTTTGTCTACTTTTCTTAAGGTTTTTAATAAAATCTGCAGAAAACCTGATGTTAATTCAGATGAACAAAGTTCTTTAAACTGAGGCCAAACTATTAATCTTTCAGCATAATCTTTAATTATTTCAGAATAATATTCAGGAACATCAGTATTTTTTTCCTCTTCTTCCTTAATTTCAGTATTTTTCTTTTGCTGTGGTTTTTTATCATCCTCTTTGGGTAATAATGCCAAATTCAACAAACATGTTCTAATAACATGATTTCCATAGGTATCCCAGATGAAATCTTCCATGTTATTTAACAAAAACTTACTGATTTTAATTGTGAATGCTTTGTACATTTCTTTAGTTTTGTCAGGTAAGTCTGTTTTTAATGATCTTTGTGTAGATTGTGTAACTAAAGCTTCTAGAACATGTGTGGCAAATCTATCGCTACAAATTGGACGAATATCATCGCTGAAGGCTTTCATGAACCTTTCCAACACACTGTCATTGGCAAATGGTATAAGCATTTCAACCACACGACACCCCACTTGGTTACAACTGCAGTTGACTTCAGTGTTTTCAGTTTGTTCAAAAACATTGTTTACAAAATTTGCTACAAATGATTTTATTCTTGAAAATTTTTCAAAATTATTAATAAAACACGTTACCTTTATCTTCATCATTATCAAATCCTTCTCTATAAGTTTCCATAATCCTTACAAAGTATTGATATGTATCGGCCTCAATATGACTTCCTCTACCATAATGTCCTTTTTTCGCATATTTCCTGGCATTCTTTAAGAAAGACTTCTTACGTTTCCTATTGTTTCGTTTATTTCCTTGCGCTTCATGTGGCGCTTCGTCAGACATTTTCACGAATATTTAAAACACTGCACAGATAAACAATGCGGAAAAATTAAGGTTAACTGTTCATAACCTCAATTTAAATTTAAATGACGGTCCATGCGCACAGTGGGTATTTATAAAAAAAATCGGGCGTTTATTTTTGCGTAATCCGATACATGATTTTTTTCTTAATACATACATAGATTGCTTAATAATTAAAGCATAGAAAATAGGCTGTATTACTAATAGGTAGATAAACAAAAATGATTTTCTGAATAGTTAAAATTGGTTTTATTTTTTGCAATGCCCTCAAATTACAAAAACTATAAAGTACCTACCTGTCCGAACTATTTTAAAATTTCTGACCAAGTTTAAGGTTTTTATTAGGGTACCACGGTACCACGTGCTTTCAATAGGTTCCGGAAAAATCACATTCCGAATGTTTTACATTAAATAATCTACCATGTTCAAAAGCAGCGTTGCCGTTGCCGGGTATTTTACCCAAAATTCGGGTATTTTGGAGTATGTGCCGGGTAAAATAATTAAACGGGTAAAACCGGGGATTTTAACCCTTTGACCCAAATTTGCAAAAATAAAAATTGTAGAACCAACAGCAAAAAATAAAACTTTAAAATTAAAATTCAACCATTCGACCTACGCTATTTCTGCGAAAATGAAAATTTCAAAGTTCATTTTGACCATTTATACAGTTACCTAATAGATGGCGCTATACGTCTTTATTTTATATTGCGCATGTCCTTGACGTTAATTTGACAGTCAACGGGTATTTTATTTATAACAGAAACAGACTGAACACCTACACAATCGCCGCATTATTACACACAAAAGAGGCAGGAGGTCCTGTCAGATTTGAACCATCAAACAAAATGTTAAATTCTAATTTACGGAAAAAATAAAGTACTTAATCCCTGAGAGGAGGTTCATCCACTATTTATTAATAAAGTAAGCATGTATATGTATTAATAAAGTTCCTACCTAATAGTACCCTAGTAGCAATTCCGGAAAAGTCTTGGCCAAGCATGGGTCAAGATACTTTGGACATATTTTTGCTCAAGAATTGTACAAGAATTGTTCCAGATTCTTGGCCAAGATTATTGGGCTAGACTTGAGCCAGACTGTGGCCAGAATTTGATAAGAATTTGACCAGAAATCTGAGGCCATCTATTGCTAAACTTTGGGACTATCCTATAGAGTAGAGGTTCTCATTCTATAGTATCATTCACAATAATATATACTAGTCGAGAAGTGAGTTCTCTGTAGGAAATGAGTATAGTTTTTTTGTTTGTGATAATACGAATCGGAGCTTATTGGATTCGTCTTCTAGCTGAGAAAAAAATTGATTTTTTGAAAAATAAAAATTGTTATTTCTAAAAATCAAAAATTAAAAAAAAAGTGTGTGTCAGCTCTGACGCATAACTAGAGTTTACTCTTTATGAACATGAAAGATTATAAAATACATGTTTATTTTTACGGGCACCTGGTTTTTTTTTAACATAGAAAATTAAAAACTTTAACTCTTTCAAAATTTGTTTCGTTTTTAATTCTATTGTTTACCAGATTTATGGATAAAAACCGAATTTACTGGAAATAAATCGTGGAAAATTAATGTTTTTAGTAACATTCTTAACTTTTGAAGTTCAACAAAATTTTGTATTGACCAAAAATCTTGAATTGAAAGTTCCTATTTAACGTGTAATCTTGTAAAAATTCTTGGCCAAGAATCTGGTCAAATTCTGGTCACAGACTTGTCCAAGTCTGCCACCAGTCTGGATAAAGAATTTTGATCAAGAGTCTTTGTCAAGAATTGTCCAATTCTTTACAAAGTGCTTCTCCAAGTATCTTGACAAAGAATCTTGTCCAATTCCATTGCTACTAGGGTATTAGGCTAATACCTACCTATTTACTATTAATAAAAATTTGACCTCTTTTTTTTTTAAACAAGCCACGTATTCGGACGGGTAATTTTATGGGGTAAAACCGGGTATTCTGTCATAGTGGCGTGGGTAATTGATAATTTCAGTGCGGCAACGCTGTTCAAAAGTAAGCGGAAGCAATAGGTACATAATTTACATGAAATTCACAAAAAAACAAGTATATACCCTATACTACAAAAAGTATATTCAAATAAATAAAGTCGGAAAACCCATAAAAATTTATGTAATTCATTGTGATTCACGTTGTGAATGTGCGCGCGCAAAAATCCATTGCGGGAATGTCCACTGTTGCCAGGTTTAATTTTGAAATCGTTACACAAAAAGTATTACCTACCTACTTCTAAATAATTCCTGCGTTTAAAATTGTTAATTTACAAATATTACTCTAGTTGAACTACAAAATATAAAATAGGTGGGTACATAGGTATATCAATATTAAATACCTATTGAAATTTTTATAACTATAAAGTAATATTATACGGTAGGTATAATTTATACCTATTATATTATATTATATTATATTATATTATACCTATAGGTATTATATTATGAGGCGCCATATGTTCCATAATTAGGTATTTCATTCGATGTATAAAATGTTTTGCAGAAAAAACAATATATGTATAAGCAATGACTTCTTCACTCAACGATATAAGTAAAATTTACTACAATTTTTTATATTTTAAAATATAAGTTTTATATAAGGTGATACGATTCAAAAAATATATATATTGAATTTGGCACCATATATAAAATATAGGTATACCTACCTAGGTATCTACCCAAAAAAAGGAAGGCAGTAAAAATAACAAAGTTACCTACCTATGTTATTTTTACTGCCTTTCATTTTTTGTGTATATATTTTGACTTATTTGCGGACATCTGTCACTTAATTGTGTCCAAAAATATAATGTCTAAAAATAAATTCAAAAAATTTTTCCGGTCGAACGAAAGCTCCGACAATCCGGCAACGTTGCGCCGAATAACCGGTATGACTAAAGTTGTAAACCCTAATAAATTGTAGTATCGAATTGGACGTAAAAGCGTTTGGAATTGGGAACGTTAAAAAGTAAATAACGCGTTACGTAATTAAACAGAACAGAACAGATAGGAAGTGTGAAGTGCATATTTATTAAGTGTTCCTAAGCTTTCCAGGATTTTCAACAGTAGCCAAAACTCCGGCGACATGTGAGTGTGTTTTTGTTTTCTTTGGGGATGGTTTTGTTCAATAACGATTATCATAATTTTTAGAAGTAAATTTAATTTATTTTGATTTTTAACTTAATAGTAATCGTTATAGTATATTGCTTTTGATTAGATTTATGCAGATTTAAATCTTGAATCTAGGTATTTAGGTAACCTACCTACTTTAATTTTGGAATTATACCTTAGGTAGGTACTTCGATTAGCAATTTCTGAAGTCGGCTAAATACCGATTGTGTTAATAGATATGCTATACACATATTTTATCATAAAATAATTTATAATTTATATTATAATAAATGCGTACCTACCTAGGTAGGTCTACCGTATAGGTACTGTAGGTACACTGAGAAAAAAGTTTATTGCTCCCAAATAAAAAAAAATATTTAAATAATTGGACAATCGTTATCGTTATTATTTCGACTATTTAGAGGTTATAAACAATATATTCACTGTTAATAAAAGTATTAGCTACACAGTTTATTTGTCCCATTTTTTTCTCAGTGTATAGGACCCTATAGCTATAGGGTCCTATACCTACAGTACCTATACGGTAGACCTACCTACCTATAGGTAGGTATACTAGGTATATAAGTAAGTATTTGCATTTTTATCAATTTTACAGAAAATTTATTACGTACAGTGGCGGACACGGAATTTTAAACGTCATAATTTGGTTGTCCACGTATAAATCTGTAAATAGCAAAAATACAATATTATATTAAATACAATATTATATTGACCATTTTTGCTCTCGAAGTCTACGAATCTACTGCCCATAGACATATTAGTTAATATGTTAATACGTCCATGCTACTGCCAATGACAATGGCAATGAGTGAATACCTACTAACCTGGTTGGAAAAAGTCTGAAAACCCGTGGAATATACAGGTTTCTGTAATATACAGGTTTCTGTAATTTATATTTTTAGTTATAGTTACAGGAATCTGCCCATTTGACAGTTGAAGTTTGTTTACATTTTAAATCCATACAAATAAAAAAAAATTCTTTGTAAAAATACTTCAAATTTTAGTAATTACTTGTATAAACAATAGGTTTCTGCAAGCCTTTTAATGAATCGGGTAAACCGGAATGTAACGAAGCAACGCCGAATGCATCGTTATTTAGCCCCGCCCAGGCATTCGAGTGATAATCAGGGACCCGGACCCAAATGAAATAAAAAAATATTTCTGTCCGGTTCGGACCAATCTTTTCGGTCCATACGGTTTTTTTCGGTTCCAATTTTTTTACCATGTAGGGTATAGGTAAATAGGTAAATTTATAAAATGAAAAATTTATTTTTTTTTAAATTTTTTTTGTCACGTTATTAAGTTACTTTGTCTTTTCAAGGATTCAATTAAAAGATTTAAAATTTTGATAAGAAACGTAAAAATGTATTTATACTTTATCAGTTTTAGTTTTAAAAGGTACTAATATAGTATTAATAAAATGTTAAATTTAAAACTTTGTTTTATCATTTATAATAGGTATAAATTTAATATCCCGATCGTTATTTTTTGTAATGTAATAGACTTTTATTATAAAACTAATAATTTTATTTTTTATTCTACAAAAAGTACCTAGTTACCTATATGTTATTTAAAAAACAACATGCCACATTGTGTTTGTTTATGTAGAGATATACAGTAAAAGTAAGTGTTTTTTTCGCTTGTATGTATTTAAAACAGGGTTGGAAAAAGTCATGACTTATAAAAAAAATAAAAAAGTAAGATTTTTTATATTATTCAAATATACAAGTCAAAATAAGTTAAATTAAACATTTTTTCAAACAATTCTGTCATTTATTTGAATAAATTTGTCGCAATTATTTTACTTTTTAAGTTAAAAAGTAAAATAATTGCAGTTAAAAATTTTAACTGCGCCAAATATTTCAACCACGAAGGTCTTGGGAAGATTTTTTCTTTACCAATTTTTGGCATTCCCAAAACTAAGCAATATACAGGGTGTTTCAGAATAAGATGCTGAACCTTAAGGGTGTGAATCCATATTGAGAAAACAATGCCATGATTAAATAAACATTAAAATTAAATTTAGTTATAAAATAATTTTAAAAGAACTAACCGGAACTAACATTAAATATCGTAAACAAAAACAAAAATAATTTAGATTAGCTGTTGAAAGTGGCCACCACCTGCAAGTATGCATGCTTCAGCTCTTCTCCTCATTGAGTTTCGTACCCTTAGAAAAATTCCTGGAGTATTTCTGATATATCAGAACACTATAGTGTCACAACAAACTATTATGCGGTTTCTCAACTCCTCCTCAGTATTTATTGGGGTTGCTGTAAACCAACGCCTTAAGATGTCCCCATAGGAAAAAATCTAGACTGTTTAGGTCTGGTCTCAATATGCGCATTAAATTCTTTTTATTTTTTTCGTCGAAAACCGTTAGTCGTACGAAAAATGGTCAAGAAATCAAATTTGCCCTAAAATGAATGAGGATTTAAAAAATAATTTTTATTTTGAAAAATAGCAGTGGCGTACATAATATTTTTCCAAAAATATCTAGACCACATCCTGTAAGGACGCCACTGGTAAAAAAAATAAAAAATCTTCTACATCAAAAACTTACTGTTAATGCTTAGAAGGCGTCTGCCAAATTTTATAAAAATATCTAGGAAGTTATTAAAGTTATGATAAAAAAACGTTTTTTTTTCTTAAAACTTTAACACCCTGTAACTCAAAAATTAAGAGGTTTACGTCATAGGTTTATTTAAACTTTTTTTCTTAAAATCAACTAAGGATTCACACCCTTAAGGTTTAGCATCTTATTCTGAAACACCCCGTATATCACTTTTTTGTAAGCCAATCAGATCGCGCCATTTTCATTGTTCTTGATGAGTTTATTTCACTTGAATTTTCCGAAAATAGTATTAAATTGTTACAAAAGATTGAATAATTTCTGATGCAATTAAATAAAAAGTTTAAATTAATTCATGATAAGAAAAACATTTGATTTACCTAATTTACGAATGAAATCATTGAATTAATTCATTTAAATTAATTCATGCCAAGTTGGCATTGCAAACCCTGATTTAAAACAAACTATGTATTTTGTAAATTATAATTTATAATTTTATGAATTATAATTTATATTAGTTATCGTGGTTTTTTCTTTAAATTGTTATTATTTTATTTTGTATAAAATTTGAATACATCATCCTTAACTAAATAAAAGATATTTCGCTGTTTGAGCAAGTCATTCACAAATTAAAAAAATAATTAAACTTTTTGAATAGATCATATATATATGTATACAAGTTCAAGGGTACAACCAATATTAAAATTAAATTATTTATTGGCTATATTATAATATTGTAATTTTAAAGAATAAATCAGTAAATTAAGTTTAAATGTTTAATGGTTTTTGTTTATTAATTTTCTAGACGTTATACATGGAAATAATGGGTATAAAATTAATTAACGTTTTTTCTATTTTAGTTCAGCAATGTATTTTTAAATCACTTATGATTCTTACATTATTTTTAAATCACATCTGATAACTATAATACATAAAAAGTTGGCAGTTTACTTAGTGTATTCAAGGACTTGGTCCTGATTTTAATACTTATATTTAAACTAAGTGACCAGGATGTGCTATTTTATAAATTTTAGCTTCAAATACTAAAATTCAAAAAATAATAAAAAAAATAATTATAAAATTTAAAACAAGCACTATAAACTTGATAAACTCAACAATACAGTTATTTCGATTTGTTTGACCTGATCTTTAAATGTAATTTTTTTGAAGTAATTTAAAACAAAATAACCTTGGTACCGTCGAGAAACTTTTCAATTCAATGCAAAATGTAAAGTTTTAGCATGTATTTTTAATCAAGAAAAATGTGTATAATAGTAATTACCTGCACGCTGGAAGAGAAACTAGGTTTCTTTTCAGTCAATATCATACTAATACATAATTATTAATCATACTATAATTGTTAAAATAAGTATATACTATAGTAAACAAAGTACTTATGTTTATTCCGCGGAAGTTTTCCAGCGATTACATAAAAATGATTTTATTGTGATATTATAGTTATTTTTTGCACATGTATTAAGATAAGTGTTTACTTTTTAACTCTGATTTTTGTAAACATTTTGGCGTCATCGCTGGAAAAGTTCCGCGGTATACTAATGTATATATACAATATAATATAATAATATATATATATATATATATATATATATATATATATATATATATATATATATATATATATATATATATATATATATATATATATATATATATATATATATATATATATATATATATATATATATATATATATATAATATATATATATATATATATATATATATATATATATATATATATATATATATATATATATATATATAATATAATAATATATATATAATATAATAATATATATATAATATAATAATATATATATAATATAATAATATATATATAATATAATAATATATATATAAATTTTTTGCGACGCCCCCTAAAAAGCTTCTTTTTAATGAAAAAATACTGGGAATTTTTTTTTTAATTAAAAACAACACGTGCCTCAAGACGATCTAAGTTAATTTTTTGGTAAAAATCATGTTTTTTTAAGAATTTTTTATGAAAAATAAAGTTTTATTCTAAATATAAACAATTATAGAATCCAAATCAATAAAAAAACAATAGTTAATCGAAATAATAGACAAAAATTTAAATTCAAAATTTTTCCCATTTGATTTGGTCTATTAAATAGAAAAATGAAAGATATTCAAATTGATATTTTTATTTTAAAACTAAATTAGTACAAACGTAATTTTAATATCTAGATTTCTTCACTCCAAGGTGATGTTATTTTATTGTTAATAATTTTTAAATCTCAAAAAAATTATTATTCCATATTTTCAGAAAAGACATGGGCTAAAGTTAGCTTTTTTATAAATTGGGAAAATGTGAGGTTAAATCCATTGACATTTGACAGATGTCA